TAAGTGGTGTCAGAATTATTTGTATCTACAGGTATCGCTGTAGGAAGCTTAATAAGAGAACTCCTGCGCAGAGCACAACAGTGGTGTCAGCTCTCAGGCCCTGGTCTTGCCCCTGCTGTGATTAAGGTGCGGTAGTGTTGTAATTTTCAGACATCCCACCTGGAGCCTGCTAGGAGCCGACAGCGCACACTAATCAGAAACATTTGCTTGTTTGAAACATGCTGAATAGAGCCCACATGCTCTTGGCACATGTTATATCCTCACAGCACATTACAATGACACTTACATTAATTAATGTTTTAATATTTACAAAATGGATAAATCCCCTGTACTGTATATCAAACACAATATATACAGTGCCTTGCAAAATGATTCACTCCTGCGCAAAGTTTCTACACTTTCAAATAGAGCCTTGTGTTTACAATTTCCACAATTTGCTCCAACGTGGTAAAGTTAAAAAATGCTGGTCGGAGCAAATAAAAAGAGACATTTAAAAACGTGGCAGTTGCGTAAGTTTTTTCACCTCTTTGCAATGGCAACACTAAATAAATCCAGGTGCAAAAAGTTTCGTCTGCAAGGTCACAAAATTAGTTTCATGGTCTTTGCCAGTGTGTAATTAATGAGGTTTTTATCATTTGAGTTCAGAGTAAATGTATATGTCTCCGTAAAGACCATCAAATTAACCATGAAAAGATCTTTCAAAACCTGTGAGGGATGAGGTGAAGATGCGCAGGAGAAGGTTCTTTATCTCTTTAAGTAAGTCAATCATTAAGAACCGGAATGTGCAACATAACTACCCAGACACAAGTTCGATCAGACTGCCCTGCTCTAAAGGAGGGACAAGTGGCATGAAGGATGCTGGTTAGGGATGCCAGTGTGAAGCCAGAAGTGACTTAGAAAATCCTACAAAGTTTTATGCCTGAAATAGGAGGAACGAGACAATATCCCCGTGCAAACATTAACACCATCTCTGCCTGTGTCCTGAGGACAGGATGAGTGTTACTGAGTCTGGAATACATGAATATTCCTAATGACAGGAGTATGAATATTCAGGGGTCTGCAATATTATCTGCACCATTTGGCTAATCAAAGGTGCGATTTAACAATACTCATCAGTATCCTTTTTTACCTGTTTCTGAAGCATGTCATACCAAAACACATCACAACAACTTTTCTACTGTAATACGTCTTCGGAATTTGCTTTGTATGCATACAAAATTGTTTAATGTTCCATTGCAAATGTGAACCCAAAGCCTATGTTTAGAAAGGCTTTTTGATACATGGTTGAAAAAAATTGTATAATGGACCCTTTGCATTGCACGAAAAAGTGTTTAAATAGTGAGGGTTTATATTTTTCATCTAATTTTCATTATCTCTTAAAACTGCTCATAGAAAGTCATTGGCTTTGAGAGGAACCTCTACGCATCTCGGCTACCTTTTGAAGAATATGGCAGCAGCAGTCTGAGCAAGATATGTGATCTGGGAATCCATACCCACTTGAACAAAACTGTGGGCATGGCCCGTTTGCAGTGGATACTAGAAAAAGCGACCAGGAAAGACTGACAAATATGCCAGTCCTATGAGGCGTGCAAAAGAATGCATGCCTACAAGGTGTCATATTAGCAAGTATTGTCATCTTGAATAACATCAAAATAAACTTGATTTAACTAGCAGCTAAATTCAATGCAATAATACCAGTACTGCACTCTGTTTTACTTAGTACCTGTTCATAGTCACATAGAACAGTACACCAATAAAAATGTCAAGAATGTATTATAAAATCAATATTGTTTCTCAAGAGAAGAGTCACTTTTTTTCATTTTTTGGCACTGTTGAACCTGAAGTGTTGCTGCATTGCTTCCTACTGTATATGCTATATATACAGACTTTGCTATAACAAATTTACACAGTGAAGTTGCTACATTACAGAACAGTAATTTCAGACAGTTGAAACACATCTTTTGACTTACCCACCAATTTTATGTTGTTTTATATCAATGCATACACTGATTTAAAAATGTAAAATATAGTCCCTTGAAAAATTTATTTTACATCTTACATCTGCAGCTAGACTTGGTACCCTATATTTAGGCTAAAAGGCTCACAGAGCCTATATTCCAAGTGTTGGTTATTTCTGATTTTATTTTACCTCTTGAGGCAAGTTCATAAACAGTTGTCATGAACACTTCCTCTTGCAGCAGTAATTCAGAGAGTGCCTTTCCTTTATCTCAGCTGTTCTAACGACACGCACGTATATTATGACCATAATCTTCAAAAGGCTGTCAGCATAAGCAGCTCTGCTTTCATAAACCATTAAGTCAGTTTTGATATATTCTTAACACTATCCTGTTTACAACTGTCTGAAAAAAACAAAAAGGTAGAGATACATTTCAGATCATATCCTCCTCTGTCAAGCAAAGGTTTATTAACTAACACTTCTTATTTTTTGCTAGTGATTTCAGCTGTATTAAAATTGCTTTTTTGTTGAAAGCAGGCACAAAGCCATGCCTGTTTTTCAAATTACAATGCTTGCACCCACTGTGATTATTCTATATATCTCAGAACATTACTAAGTACCTCACACTGAGAGTCACTTCATATTTAAATTGACATCCAGAAAGTGGAATTACATTTGTACATGAAGTACGTTTTAACAAGGGCAACGCCACAGGTAGCAGTTAACACTTAGAGGAAAGTCTTCTAGCCTTATATAAAACACAGATTTTATCAGATACTCATCCACCACTCATTTCCAAACTGGAGAAGTTATAACGTGGCTTGGAGCTCTTGCTCCCCAAAAAGTCCTTAATCCTAGCAATCTCTCGAGACAGCAGGACAGAAGCACAGTAAAGAGCCTTAATCTCAACATCTAGATTTACCTGGTCATGTGACTCTCCCAAATGTGAATGATTGGTTCATATACCAGCGAACCAACCTGTTCACTAGGCATCTTGGTTTTCTTCTTTGTCATAAAGAATAAAGCACCCAGCAGCCATGTCACCTTGCAACTCACAACTGGCAGCCCACTGAAGCTAAGCAGGTGTGAGCCTGGTCAGTACCTGGATGAAGGAGACCTCCTGGAAACGCTAAAACTGCTGCTGGAAGAGGTGTTAGCGGGGCCAGCCGGGGGCACTCACCCTGCGGTCTGTGTGGGTCCTAATGCTCCAGTATAATGATGGGGACACTATACTGTAAAAAGGCGCCGTCCTTCGAATGAGACACAAAACCGAGGTCCTGACTCTCTGTGGTCATTAAAAATCCCAGGGCGTTTCTCAAAAAGAGTAGGGGTATAATCTCGGTGTCCTGGCCTTTGGCAATCAAGGCCTCCTAATAATCCCCATCTCTGAACTGGCTTCATAACTCTGTTCTCCTCCCCACTAATAGCTGGTGTGTGGTGAGCGTACTGGCGCACTATGGCTGTCATCGCATCATCTAGGTGGGGGCTAGGCAGGTGGAAGGGAGTCCCCATTACCTGTAAAGCACGTCTTGAGTGGAGTATCCAGAAAAGTGCTATATAAATGTAAGGAATTATTATTCTGTATAAATTCCTGGCAGGGTCAGGAGCTCCAGAGTTCTTCAGAACCCTGGAAAGTTTTACCACGTGCCCAGGCCTTCAAAAACACAGCTAGCTGAAAGCAGCCATCACATCGCAAATTTTGACTATAACCGCTTCAACAAGCCATCGGATGAGGACACGTGCCTAGTCAAACTGGCCACCGCCTGGAAGGAAATGTGGTCTAGGATCTGTCCCAGCTCTCTCACCCTGGGACCCAGAGTGACATCACCATGCCCCCATTCATTCAGCACCCACTGTAATGATCAATTCACAATGTGCATTCTACAGAAAGCAATTTTACAACAACTGTAAATGTTCCCCAACATATGCCCTCTGTGCCTTGTGACCCACCAGCATGGGCTGCTGCAATGGCTTCCTGGGATTTTCTGAAGTCACTGAAGCGGCTAGCAACTTTGAAGACAGAAAAAAGTGATATCATACCACCAACTACTGTATATAATTTGATGGGTATGCATTGTTTAATATTCCATTTCAATTGTGAACCCAAAGCCTATGTTTAGAAAGGCTTTTTGATACTTCGTGGAGAAAATTGTATAATGGACTCTTTGCATTGCACTAAAAAGTGTTTAAATAATGAGGGTTTATATTTTTTCTTCAGAAAAAGATATCTTATTTTCATTATCTCTTAAAGCTGCTCATAGAAAGTCACCTGTGGAACAAAAATGTGGTCACACTTATTTTTTATGTACTGTACACTTCAGTTCAGGTGTTTTCTTATTGGAAACCAGTCACCAGGGTTCTCTGCAATGGTTATACACATCCAGCTTTACAGCATTAAGCACTATCTAACCCAAACCTACTGCACGGCACTGACACTAATTCATACCAAACTTGTCAGCGCAGAAGTAGGAATACGCTTGGAAAACCTGTCTGTGTTACATTATTACGTCTAATCCAGATAATCCCATCCATGTTGTTAAATGCCATCCCATCCCAATCTCTCACCCTGGGACTCTGAATGGCATTAACTTGCCCCTATTCATTCAGTGCCCATAGTAATGATCAATTCACAATGTGTGTTATGCAGCAGGCATTAATGAAATTCAATGCCTTGGGCAAAATACAAACTAAACATATGTTCAACAAATCAGGGCTTGTATACTTTGCATGTCACTGTTATTATGACTGTCTATTAAAGTGATGATCAGATCTTCAGTAATAGGCATGCTTGTAGTCGACTATACTTTGAAGCGCTGGTGCCATGCTAAACCTTGATAAGACATTAATGATAAGCTGACCCAGTGTATTAAAAGCCTATGAAAATGATCTCTCATGATTCCCCTGGTCGTTACTGAAAAGCACTTTAAAGATGAGGGATGATGGAAAAGAGTATTGTTTTAATATTACGCTTCCTTTATTAAGCCACGACATATCCTGTTTCTTATATAATTACCCACACCCGGCCTTTCTCAAGTGAGCTTACCTTGTGTACACTGAGACTCCCACATGCTGTTTGCCTCCTCATAAGGCTTCACAATGTCTTCATTTTTGTCTTTGTCTTGGCCGTAGCATTTACTTAAGCTCTTTTGGCTGTCACGCAGCACCTTTAAAAAATACAATAATTGTTCCAATAAACCTCCACCCAGAAGTGGACTGTCAGTAACGAACTAGCGTGTACAATGGAGCCTTCATATTTTTCTGAAACCAGAATTATGTTTGTTATTCAATTTTATTATGTTTTTGTCACATACTTTCACTAGAACCCGCTAATATGCTTTGCAATCGTAATGGCATGCAAATTTATCAGCGTAAGCGCTTTTTTATTTTCTCCTACCTACATGCAGATGGCTAGGCACTGACTTAATTGTCAGGGTGAAAATAACAGCAGACGCGCACTTCCTCTCATATTTAATTTTATCTTTGAATAAAAGAGCTATAGGAAAGTATTAATCTGCTTAACATTTCTAAGTACATCCTCCAAAGGATTTTGCTTTTTTAATCTTACATATGCTCAGCAGAGTTACTGGCAAAAACTGTACATTTTCTTCATTTCATCCTTTCAACATCAAATGGTGAGCAGCAAAAATTGGATCAGACTTCAAAGACTGTGATGTGCTCCAAGTCACAGAGTGACTCTTCTATTTCACATATTGAATTCGAGCAGGATATCAAAGTACTACCAAAGAACCTCAGGTCTTTACTAAAAAAGGGGCTCTAACATCTGTAGAAAGAGAAGCGCAAAGACAAATCACCTAAGGGAACTGCAAGCATTTATTCTCAGCCGTGAATTTCCAGCCTTTTGATTCTCTTATTCAGCGTACCACCCTGTCTCTCCACTGAACTAAAGTTTTTAGCAAGAAGAGTCTTTTGTCTCAAGGACTTCAAAACACTCTTCTAACAATTTCATGTTCTCAGCGCTTGGCCTAACTACTGATTGGAGCAGAATTCAGCACTACGGATTCGAGAACTCATGTTCACCATGAAAATAACAAAAAAAACGCACTCACCCTTTTCTCCTGATGGTCAGCTAAGAAATCCGTTCTGCTGAAGCTGCCATGCCTAAAGGTGTAATAAAAAAGCCTTGATGTTACTTTCTATATTGAGACGTTTCCCGGCCACACGGGTTAAAATCTTGTTAGGACGTGTTTAAGCACTATCACAGTAAAAACAGATAGAACACAAATAGGCTGAATTTATGTTCTTCCTCACTCACATCTATGCAAGTTAAAAAACACAACTAAGAAGTTGCAGATTTTATTTAACATTGATATTTATACAGTTGTCATGGGAACTGTGTTACAATTATTTTAAACACATTCAAATGTTATTATTATTGTTGTTGTTGTTGTTTTACAAGGCTCATTTTACTCTTTGGTTTAATATGTATTCTGGTAAATTTATTACTAGCAGCAGACTTTATTAAAAGGGTGTGTTTTCAAACACTGCAGAAACAATAAGGAAAAAAAACGACATCTTTGTCACAGCAATTTTGTAACAGTGCTTCTTACCGGATGTGATATGATAAAGTTACCATAACTGAGGAGCTTACTGCAGGATATTCAGGAAAAATTGTAAACAGAAGAATGTGGACACACTCATGAAGTAATACAGCAGGTGGAATATAAGCTTTATTCAGTAATTCTACTCGGCTTCCTAATGTTATCGGAAACGCAAAACCAAGATTCGCAATGGTCTCGACTGAGGAACGTGCCTGGAGAAATCAAGAGAATTCCCTAAAGAAAAATATATTAATTTTTTAAGTGCACAGAAAAGAAAACTTCATAATAGAAATCAGGTTTGGATTGTTGGTTTTGCAAATAGTATTACGTTAGCAAAGTCAGCAAAAGTATCACTAAATAAAATCATCTGTGTACTTATGCCAACAGGAAACATCTCTGTTTAACTTTCAGATGTCCCTGTTACTATATTTGATTTTATAGTCCTGAAAGATGCTGTGTTGGCCTGGATGCCAAGAAATCCATTTTCTATTTTCCACTAAATTTAAACATCTCCTGATTCTCAAAAATAGAGACTCTGCTTTCAAAATATGCTCCGCTCAAAATGTGTCATCTGGTACCGTGAAACTGAAAATAAAAATGTTTGATAAGTGCACATATAAACAAGCTGCTAAATGAATTGCCATTATTTTGCCAGTTTCTGTAGTGAAAGGAAAATGAAATTTTAGCAACACTGTCAGAACAGCGACAATAGAGTTCAGTGGAATGCTTTGCACAGTGATATACACAGAGAGAAGTAAAGACCATCTGTACCCCTGTTCATCTGTTTTCCTGCTTTCACATAGTTTCTTAATGACAACTCTATCCACATGCCGAGTAAATACACAGCCAGTTATGCTTTGACATCTGGGTGCCACAATTAAGCAGAAGCAGCATTTATCAGAGATACTTCACAGAAAAAGTTTGCCTTATCCTGAAAGAAATATATTCATTAAAACTACAAATCTCATTTAAGAATTCCTACTTAAAGGGAGGGGAGGAGGGAGGTGATTGTTTCAGAGGTAGAACAATGAAACATTAACAAAATAAAAAGCATTAAATAAGCATTAGATTAATGATGGGTGTTTTAACTCTTGGATAACACAATCAATTTCTTCCTATATGTAAGTCCTCAGTTAAGTCTTTTTTGAGGCTTTTTTGCAAAATAAATACAAAAAATGGACTCGTGAGAACAGGGTCAAAATGTGTAAGCTTTTATTTAAAACTCTAAGCAGAAACAAAACTATGAAGAAATTGACTCTTTGTGACTGTTTTAGAACTTGTTTTTATCTCTGGTGTCTAAGAGCTTTCACACACATATAAACACATCAGATGTTTTGAATCACTAATGGAAATATTAAAAGACAGGGGAAAAGATCCAAATGACTCACCCAACTTCATTTACAACCCTGGTGCCATCCAGGGTCTGAGACAAAGCCACTGAATTAACCCCATGATTCATAGCCTCAGAACGCTTACGAGCATAGTACCTCCTGTAAGCTATAAAATAATATCATATCATTCAAAATCTGTTACAGTACCAAACAGCAATTGTTTTTCTCATAAGTTTTATTTTTAACACCTTTCAAAAAATGAACCATGTGTTACTGTGAAAAAATACAGTACTTTGTTTTCATTTGAATTTCATGGCTGCGAGCATTAAATATGCTTTGTTTAGTCCTTGTAGCAGAAACAATGGACAAAATACAATAACCAATTAATTATTAATACTTGCCTCTTAGCTTTTTTCTAAAACATAAAACGAAATTAAATGGCATCATTTTTTTTTCTGTTCACGATTTGAAAAATTGTCAGGCTTATAAATCATTAATTTTTTTACTAAAAAGATGAAAATACATTTTCACAACTGCTCTTTGCATATAATGTAAAACAAACTCGCAGATCATAAAGGGAATCAATTGTCATGTACAATTTTCCACTGGGACAATCAATTGGAGGAATGTGCTAATGCTAGCCACAATTTCCAGATGATCATGAAAAACAGAAAATTAAAATGTAAAGTGCAATAAACTCCCACTACGGAAGTTTGAATCCGAATTTAAGCCCCTGGTAGCATTATCTTGGTCAGAAATTCTGAAACTGTGACTTTTTGTCCCCTTCGCTTTCTGCCTCTTGAACTGCATATGTAAATAAAAACTCAGTCAAAGGGCTTTGTGTTTTAGTTGTAATATTATACACACAGGAAAAGAAACCTCCAGCACATTGTTAAAAAGGGGCATGTTTTCTCTGTTTTAATCTGATCGATTGTTAGTGAGCTCCCTGGGTCCACTGAGATCCCTAGGCCATCAGCTCATGTATTTGAAAGGCATCTGTTTATTTTTAAAATGCAAATGCGGCCTACCTCAAAGGCTAAGCTGCAAGAAACACAATTTAAACGTGTCAGAGTTTTCCATTGGGGGCTTGGCTTCTCCCTTCCTTCAGATCTGCAAGTACCTCCCTGTCAGCATCACTTTAACAGTATCCCGAGTACAGGAGGAAACCTCTTAAGAAGAAGCAAAATACATACACGGTTGTTGTTTTTTTCTGAAAAACTCCAGCCAGTGTGAACCGTTGGAAAACATTAGCTGTGCTCTGAACTTCTCCTTACTGTTCAGAGCCTTTTAATTCTCCAATTTCCCTCTCAGGATCAATAAAGTATCTATCTAATGATGTCGTTTACCAAAGCAGTCCAGGTTTCTGTTAGGCTCGCTCCTCTACTCAAGGAAGAGCCTTGAGATCGTGCTCCAGTTAACAACTTAGGTCGGACCTTGTGCTCTACCTTTGCCTGTCCTCTTTAGCGCTTCCTGTGCTGCAGAGAGAAAGCCTGCTAAGGTTAACATGGGCCACTTTGATCTCTGTCAAGGCGTCCTGAGTAAGAATTAATTTACATTTCAGATGAAAAGGTTGACAGTATGAAAAGGCATCTTGTTTCTGGTATGTGAATGTGCTGTAATAGACCGGGAATTCGGAGAGGAAGTTATGAGGAAACAGAAGGGATAAGCCCCACTGCTGCTTTTATTGGGAAAGAGATGAAAGGAAAAAGGATCTCAATATGCACTGTTCTCCTGAAACATGGAGACCAAATGCTGCCCAAACTTTCAAAAGCTTTTCTTCATACATAATTAATTAATTATTACTGTTTCATGGGAGGTTTATTGAGATCAAAAAAGCATTTCATCGAACCTTAAAGTTTAGAGTCCTTTATGAGTTTTCTTTTCATGTTGGTCACTAGAAAAGCAAGTGTATGTGGCAGGGTTATACATAGTGTAGTGGAAATAACTTTATACAATGCAGATTTCCCATTCAAATATTTGTCTGTATTTTTTGTAGAACACTCTCAGCAATGGGTTACCTGATTGTATACAGATGGCTGCCTCTTCTCTTTCCCTTTTGATTTGCCTGAGAGTCTGACGAGCGACATGTCCCCTCCAGGCTATAGAAAACACAATGTCTCAGAAATTGGAGGGAAGCACCAGCAACACACTTTAGGCATATTAGCTCAGTGAAAACACAAACTTGTTAAAACAAGAAACCAAATGCAAAGGTGGAATTTTCAGCTCGGCGCGGAAGAAATCTGACCAATTTTCCAACGATTCACTCCACAATCACCACATTTTTAAAAAGAGAAAACCACAAAGCATTTTATCATCTCTTAATGGCAACATCTTTTAATTCCTTAAACGTACACGTTTACTTTAGGCAGTTAGGGGCGGCGCTTAAGTTTTTGGCAATGTTTGGCAAGTCTGTTCTGTGTAAGACAGACTTCTTTTTGCTCATCCAAATTCACAATTTCATGTTTTACACAAAGGACAGAAGAGCAGCTACTGCATACCTGCCTGGATGACGACAGCACCATGTACCCTCTTCTCTTTGAGTCTTCTGTACCTTCTAGCTCCCAGCCAGCCCTTGGTGTAAGCCTGCATCACCACCACACGGGCTATCACTTCTCTCAGCAGCAGGTTCAGCTGCTCCACGTGGTAATATTTCAGAAAGACCTGTTAAACACCAGATGACATCAGCTGTGGCACACCTTCAACCCGAAAGCCATAATCATGCCAGCCATACTGGTTTTTAAAGTGAGCAGAAACGCACAGCTGCTTTCACTGTTAAAAGACTGTGAAAGATATTCACTTCCTGATTTTAGCAGGGCAAATTATGCAAAAACCATTCTGCATTATGATTCTAACAACTGGTTCATTACATGCATAAATAACAGACACTTTGAACATTCAGCTCAAGCCTTTGTGGTTAACACTAAGAAAAGTGTGTGTGTGTGTGTGTGGGGGGGTGGGTGGTTTTGTTATGTGCTCAGGGAATCCGTAACAAAACAACATCTTTTAAGTGGACAGGGGATTTCTGAACAAATATCCTGGGACACCAGCATGAAACCAAACAATACTCAATTTGTTTTTTTACCTTGGTTCTCCCAAGTACCCACTTGTCTAGTCTTGCTTTCTCCAGAATGGCGATGGTGTTCTCTCTGCCCGTATCAGGCATCTGGTGTGCCCTGAAGGCGAGATAGTAATACCTAACAGACAGGGAGTACAAAGCCGGAGTAAGACCGCTGCCAAGTGAAAATTAAAAGCAATAATGGTTTTCACTTAAAAGAACGTAAACATGTTAAAGAACTTAAAAACCATACTGAATTTATTTATCCCTTACCTTAATAACGCTTCCTGCATTATGAAGGTAATAAATGCTAAAAAAAACATAGGATCTGAGATATTGATTGTATGGAAGATAAAAGATTTTACATATTGCAGTGACTTTCATCAGCCACTGCAATGGAAGGCCCAGAATGATGAGGCAAATCTGATTACAATTAAGACATTCTAATAATTAGGCATTTGTTTTTGATGCCGGCGTTGTATGACTCATATGCTGCTAATGTCGTTGCTTTTCATTCTGCTGTGAAGCGCCATGTGTTTTTATAATATTTGCAGGCTACTTAATGGAGCGAGTGTTTAAATCCAAACAGTAGAAATATGGTTAGCTTTCGGATGCCATGACAACAGCTTAAGATGACTACTAAGATAGTCGGTTACTGATGTATTTGATTTTTTCTAGACCATCTGCACTTGCTTCTTTGTGACCCTTTCTGCTCAACCGCTCTTAATATGATTTAAATTAAAACTTAAAGCCCAAACTGTAGTAAATTCACCACTACTTTGGGCTCAGAAGAGCAGAGAAAATATGATTTTGGGAAATGATTTTGGTAAGAGAACTACATTCTAATTACATTGCTCATTTTATTATTTAAGTGATTGTGTTGCTGTAAAAAAAGGCACCATCCTGGATCACAACTGCTGGAAAGGGCAATGCACAGAAATTATGCAAGAAAAATGTCAGTGCTATTGCTCCTCTTTTAAACATTTGCCTGCAAAACCGTAGAGACATAATCAGTAATGGAAGCCCATCTTATTACATTTTCCACAAGTGAAACCTTAGAACTGTCAAAAGCCAAGGAAATTAATTGGGTGCAGTAGTTATAGATTTAACATGGATCACTCAACAAGTCTCCTTGTGATCTTGAAATGAATGTTAAATGTGAGCGGTATTAAATGAAGAGGGGATTCAGCTTTCCTGATCAAAATCATTCTCAACAATATACATACTGTACAGTGTGATTCATTAGAGACCTGAAGCACACATGCAGACGTTTGTAAAACAGACTTGTAAAACAGACTAGCACATTCCCCCTAATGACATACAGCCCTATTATGTCTTTGGTAAAAAAAAATATTCGTGTCCCTTTTTTTTTACAAATCATTTATGAAAAAAAAAGTTTTTCTGACATCCAGCAACATCTGAGCCTGAGCCTTACAAGATCTTCCTGGAACAAAACAGAGTGCATCAGTGGGACTTTAGCAGTCATTCACTGATGGGAGTTTGATGAAGTTGCTGGCCTTCAATTTGGGCACAGAGAGGAAGAATATTGGGGTTTTACAGAGATTGAAAAAGAGGGAAAAATGATATGTAGTATTCTGTTACTTCTTTTGCTTAAATTAATTTCCCACCTAGGTCTGGTGACATCAATTACTTCTTTTGCTCCTTTCCAGAACCAAATCCTTCCACTCTGGAATGAGCCAATAATAAAATAAAATAATAATAATAATAATAATTGCTTACACTTATATAGCCCTTTTCTGGACACTCCATTCAAAGCGCTTTACAGGTAACGGGGACTCCCCTCCACCACCACCAATGTGTAGCCCCACCTGGATGATGCGACGGCACCCATAGTGCGCCAGAACGGTCACCACACATCAGCTATAAGTGGGGAGCAGAACAGAGTGATGAAGCCAATTCATAGGTGGGGATTATTAGGAGGCCATGATTGGTAAGGGCCAATGGGAAATTTGGCCAGGACGCTGGGGTTACACCCCTTTTCTTTTCGAGAAATGCCCAGGGATTTTTAATGACCACAGAGAGTCAGGACCTCGGTTTTACGTCTCATCTGAAGGACAGCACCTTTTTACAGTATAGTGTCCCCGTCACTATACTGGGGCATTAGGACCCACACAGACTGCAGGGTGAGCGCCCCCTACTGGCCCCACTAAGACGTCTTTCAGCAGCAACCTTAGTTTTTCCCCGGAGGTCTCCCATCCAGGTACTGACCAGGCTCACACCTGCTAAGCTTCAGTGGGTTGCCAGTTGTGAGCTGCATGGTGATATGGCTAATCAAACTAAATGAATAATGTTGCTGAACTCAAACAGTAGATCAAGTACATCCAGCAACACAGGGTTCCACTAGTATCAAATCAGCAGCTGTAGTAGAATAAAGGATTGATCTCATTGTTGTACTGGTAATAACAGGATTTTAAACGAAACACTACAAGTTAAAATAGTTTTGTGTAAAGTTTGGTATCCTAAACTTTTATAAAAGTACATGTTTACTGAATTCAAAGAGTTAACTGTAGAGTTGCATCTATTTTAAGAAAAAATGAATGCATTGGTTAATTAATCTCTCCAGAAAACTTCCAGAACATATTAGTAGACTTAATGAGCTTACACATTATTTAGCCACTCCAAACACTAGATTTGTTGTTATATGTCTGGTGTATTAACCCATATTTTATGTTTGCTGCTAGTGTTTTCAACTGTCTCATTTGACGTGAGTATTTAGCTTCTATGCTGAAGTTTCAGGAGGTTGCACAGATGAAAGAAACCTAATTTCTGTTTTTAAACACAATTATCTTTTCATCTTAATGTATACACAGGTGTTGCTGCATAACCTGTGTGATATACTATATAAGATACTTTTAATCTTCCCATGAATAGTACCCAACTGTAAATGTAAAGGAAATGTGATTCCCAACAGGAATAATGTACACGCCCAATCAGACAACTTTACTTGGCCAACCTTCAAAGCCCAGAAGATCAGTATAGGGGATTTTTCATTATTCATTATATATTTCCTGCTTATGAACACTTCGGAAAACATGTTTCCTATCCTGTTAATGCTATGGACTATTTAGGATGTAAACTAAACTCAGACATTTTATGAATGCAACCACAGACCGAAAATAAACATTAGACACAAAGAAAGCCGAATTTATTCTGTTCATTTTGGGAATTAAATTATTCAACCATCTGTAATCAAGAAAAAGCAAAGGGCTCATGGGATATGGATCACATGGTGCATTCATGTCATGTCATCTTACAAGACAAAGTATCTGTAGAAAACACTATTATTAATGTCTTTGTTTCATTATGTACTCTGAGATGACCAATTCAGACATCATTAAAGAACATATTGCCTGATAGGCAATTTGGAAGAAGAGGTTAGGCAATCTTTAAAGCTTTAGACATTGAAAAATTACATGCATGGTAAAGAAATGTTCACAACGAGTAGCTGCAGCTCCATCACACTCTTTAAAACATCCAATCAGACTGAAAACCATCTAAACCATGAGATTCGGGAGCAGGTATTAAACACTGACAGTAACCTGCTGTCCACTGAAAGATGAGGTGCACATTGTTTCACTAAAACTCCAAAGACAAAAACAAAACAAAAAAAGTAAAATAAAAAAGCACAATAATATGGCAGTCTTGAACTTTCTGACTTCTTTATCCCTGAGAATGAGCAGCACTCTATTAAATATCAGCACACTGTCACGGTTGGCAAAGCTTTAGTTAGTACATGAAGCCTATTTTACCTGTTCTGAAATGCATAGTGCTCTATTGTCAGACAGGTCCCTATTTACAAGTTTCTCTTATTTCATCCAGGTAAAGAGAGACGCCCAGGAGAGTAATGTTAGTGGAGATTTTATCTCCTTGTTAGTTTCACCTAATGTTTATAAACCTTTGTTAGAGTACTTGATTGTCTTACACTTCCTCAAAGTAGTTTACAAAACACCACTATAGGACAGGCTGATAGGACTATTTGTTAAAGAACATCAAGGCCTCAAAAACTGCTGGCTCATCCTCTTTGTTGTAGAGTTAGTCAAAGGATAGAAAAAACAACAATAGTGCTGGCTATGAAATTCTTTGATATTCCAAAGATTTACTGTCTTTTATATTAATTCCTGTTGATACCTGTTCGTCCTTTGATGGTGAATACAAAGTGCAACTCTTGCCAGCATCAGAAGTGGCTTTGATACAGCAATTCTGAAATGCTTTTCACTGTCTAACTACAGGATCTGTCTGTTACTTTACAGGCCTTCAAACTAGCATCACTGACCAGGTCAGAACTAAGGTGACTGAAATTACTGAGGTCCCAATTGACATGAATAGACTCTAAATGTTTTCTAACAGCACAACAGAATTATGTCAAACAAACGGCTTGAAAAATATATGCTATTTAAAAAAGTTTTTTCAAATTATTTGTTTAAAATAATGCTAGCAAAATAAATCAAACTAAGGCTGCTGCTGGAAGAGGTGCTAATGGGACCAGTAGGGGGCACTGACCCTGTGGTGCCCCAGTATAATGATGGGGATACTACACTGTATCTGTTTTCTACACTGAATCATGTGAATAAATGTAAAAGTAATCTTTCTTAGAAGTGCTTACAACAGTATTCTATATATACCTTGTCATTTCCATGGTACAGTGTAGTAAAACAGTACCTTCCTTAGAATTTCTATTCCTATAATGTTCTTAAAACTCATCAGAAGTAAGCTGCCAAGGACAAAAATAAAATTGCTTAAGCCTTAGGCTAGACCTTTATTTAAAGGGATACTTACATTTTTGTGTACTCTGTGTACTCATTTTTGTGTCAAGACTATAACCGCATCACCTGATTTTCTGGGTGGGGTGTTCTTTGAACCTAGTATGTTGCTCCCTCAATCACTGAACAACAATCCATTTATATTTTCCTATGTTTGTAAATACCACCGTTTGATTTATCTAGATAGTAGGTCTAATAGACCCCTCTATCTCCAAATAACTAAATAGCCAACATGCAGTTCCTTCAGCAAATAACTTGTATTGGCTACATGGACATACAGTTTTCATTGTATTCGGCATACTGCACTACTTGAACACAATGTATTGCATACACCCTGGACACATAGCAGCTCTGTTGATATTGAGTTTTGTCTGAGTTTATTTTATTCAATTTCTTTTGCACTATTATCTATTATTATGTTTCCTAACTTTTAATTTTGTGATTTTTACCCCCCGGTGAGCTCGTAGAAAAGACATTTCATTGCCCGCAACTACTGCTGCACGTTGTATTGTTGTGCATTTGATAAATAAACTTTGATTGATTGATTGATAGATAAATAAATAAACGAAAACCTATAAAAGTTTCTCTTTCAAATAAAAAGCTGTTGTCTATATCATGTAACCGAGCCAAGATGACATTATCGCCTGCAATTACAGTACTGTAATTCTGAAAAACTTAAGTCATAAATAAAAAAAGCTAAGGATCTGTGCCTGTGACTGGAAGGTTGCCGGTTCAAACCCCAGAGCTGGCAAAGGAATCCTAATCCGTTGGGCCCCTGAGCAAGGTTCTTAATCCCAACTGCTCCAGGGGTGCTGTACAATGGCTGACCCTGCGCTCTAACCCCAAGTTTCTCTCCCTGTCTGTGTGTCTCATGGAGAGCAAGCGAAAAGATGAATTCCTAATGGAAGAAATTGTATAGGGCTAATAAAGCAACATTATTATTATTATTATTGATTTACCCCCTAGTATGAGACTTCGTATGAGCGCACCAGGCTTAAATCTAATAAAACAATGTTTTTGCTAGTGTCATTGAATGCACCAGATAATTTCCTGAATCTCAGTACACCATGCATTTCTGCAAAATGAAATTTTGCATGTCAGTACTAATGACTTCCAGTTAGTAAACAGCTTACTTATATTCAGACTGACTTCTCAGACTAATTAAGAAAGCTTGTATTGTGTCACATATTACACACAAGCTGATTGTCAGACTCTCAGGAGGTATTTTATGTGGGCGTAAAGGAGTGCTTCTGAAGGCAACATGAAATTAAAACAGTACTTTGTGACACATGACATTCACCTTTTAACAAATTCGTCAAAAGGAATCCGATGGGAAAACCCTTGTCGCCTGATGTTCACCGTTTCTAAAATGCCGGTGTATCGCAGCTGAACCAGCACTCTGTCGGTGGAAAACTTGAGCGCTTGTCTGTCATCATTGGGTTTTATACAACGAACAAAGTGAGGCTGTCCGACCACCATTTTAGACAGGAGATCCATTAGGGAATACTGCAAAAGAAAAAGAAGGATTTGTTTCAAAGGTACTTCAGTGAGCAGCTGAAGGGTGTTCTATAGCTGAAGAAATGTACTGTATCTACTTCTGTGTTCACAAGTCGGAGCAATTTGCTTTCGTACTGCATTCCTGGTTTGGAAATGCAATATTTCAATACATTTCATTTCACTTTCTTCTTCTTCGTTCATTACATAGCATTATAGGTTTTATTTTGTGCAAATACATTGCACTTTACACTTATTCTTTAAAAAGGTCCAGTCCATTCAGCAAAGACCTCTTTTTTTAAAGACATTAAATTGTACTTTAACATTAAATAACCTAGAATTCGTGTTTTCAAGACTCAGAAACCTGTGCCATATGGTTCAAAGGTTTTGAGTCACATTAAAGTTCACTGGTACTTCCAGAATACCAGAGAATAATGTCCCTGACAGGAGCAGTAAAAGTAGTTCAGGTGGGTAGCTGCGTCAGCATGCGTAGTCTGCAAAGGAACAAGTAATAGGTTTATTCCATGCTGAAAAGAGAAGAAAGAAAACACAATGTTTCAGCTGTGAAGGCTTCTTCAAGTGTGAGCAGTAAAAGCTAAGTCTCCTCTGTAAACCTGAGCAACGATGGGTCCTATTTCATCATTTTCCTAATCTACAATCCATACCTTTTGACTCCTGCTACGTTATCTGGTCATATTTTCTGAAAAGAGAAAAAGTGCAGTGTGCCTCAAAGCAAACAAACCCCCTTCTGCACAATATCCTTCACTTGATGGCTGCCAGCAGGGTTGCTGGTACCAAAACAGTTGAAGAACTTTGATCTTGCTAATCAATGAAAGCATCATCGACATTTCAACACTGAAAGCATGAATCAAGCATGTTTGAATTCAAAGGGAGAAAAGCACACCCAGGGTGGCATGGTGGTGCAGTAGTTAGCAGTACTGCCTCGCAGTGCTGGGGCCCTAGGTTCAATTCCGGACCTGTGGATTTTCTCCAGTTGCTTCAGTTTCTCCTACAGTCTAAACACATACCAGTAGGTTAAGTGGCTTCTGGGAAAATTGGCCCTGGTGTGAGTATGTGTTTATTTCTGTGTGTGCCCTGAGGTGGACTGGTGTCTGCTCTAGGTGGTACCGTTCCTTGTGCCCTTTGGTTGCTGGGACAGGCTCCTGCTCCTTCATGCTTCAGCAGTAAGAAAATGGAGGGAAGGATGGAGGAAGGGAAAAACACACCCTGAAATACGAGGCCACTGTTTGTCTTCGCATGTTGGTTGTTTCCTCAGGGTGCCGCATCACTTCCATAGTGTCCACCTAAAAAACATCAAGTTACACAACACTTACCAAACACACACTGAGAACTGGTTAGCCTGAGGCCCAGTTAGGACTCTGATGTTGTGATGACTTGGCATAGCAGGAGACTATCTCAGTGGCCATGTTGCTAACTGCAGAACAAATCTGTAAAGTACTCTGTGAAATGAAAACTCTATAAAACTATAAAACTCTGAAATGAAATGATTTAAACTAGAAACCAAAGTTGTTCAAATTGATATTCAGTTCAAAAGCAAGCAAAAGAAAATAAGTGGGAAATGCCAGGTTTGGAATGGAAGAATTTACCAGCTTCAAAAAAATGTTTACTTACTTGGTTTTATTTTGCGAAATTAAGTTTGAGAGCAGTGAAGAGTTCTTATTATTTAGAGAAGAGATCTTGACAAAAAAATCCAAATGGAATACAGCTGGATGATTTTGTGTTGTACGGTCTTCATTTGAAACGCAAATCTTTAAAATGGAACTAATTGTGTCTGATTGGAAAGTGTGTCTGGTACAAGGAAGTAGCTGAACTTAAGACAAACTTTATTCATATGGACGTTATTTTTTGATAGAACTATTACATCCACATCTTTAAATCATCTAAGTGCAATCTGGGAACATCATAAATTGAATTAATTCATCCTCTTTTTTTTCTTGAAAAACAAAATGAGACTATACAGCTCCTCCATGGAGAATTTTATTGTGCCTCTATTGCAATGTTATAAACACTTAAAGTCAATAATCTAGAAAGAATGAACATTTCAGCTTTAAGGCATAAGAAAAAATTAGCAAAGCACACTGTGAAAGAGGGCTTCCACTTTAAACCCTGGATCTTGTTTCACCACAGTATTAAAGAGGACACAATATTAGCATACTAATGATTTTCTCTGCTCATGACTTCATCAAATTTCATGAAGCAATAAATATTTTATTGTAAGTCTATACAGCAAAGTGCATATCTTAATATTTTATTTCATTTATCTTACCCTGGATGGAAAGGTATGCCAGTATTTTTCTCTCTCACCTCACAGTATAATTGGGACTGTAGATAGTCTACAGACTTGGTGCACGAGGAGTCTGGCAAACAGATGAAGAGCTGTCATATTTCTAAAAACATTTTAATGAGTGGGTGCTAACATCTGTTCCGTTGTTTCTTAAATGTTAATAGTTCTAATACCTGTGAAGAGCTTAGGTTATGATTGCTCACACTTTTCAGTATATTAGCTATAAAGCACAGGATCACAGATACTACCCGTTTTTCTCTTTAGAATGACCTCATGTTATTAGCAATTTCTCGGAACTCATTATTTGTATTGCATTTGAGTTGTCTGTGTTATAGTCATATCCCAAGTTTTCTGCAGGCTGTTTATGATGTCTTCATATGAAATTTCCCCACATCTAGCCACAGATCACTTATCACACTCTGTGATTCAAAACATATGATTCAGAAGATTACTGGCAGTTCTCTTAACATCCTGAAGTTTTCTTTGACAAAATTGCGTCACATTCTACGGCTGCAACTGATGGAAATGTTGATCAAAATATGACTTACTATGCATTCTTAATGTCTCTCCTACACCAAAAAAACACTGCACTGCATGACAAAAATGAAATATTTCTGTCAGCCAGTAGCCATATCGCCCTACAGCTCACAACTGGTAACCCACTAGAGCTCAGCAGGTGTGAGCCTGGCCAGTACCTGAATGGGAGACCTCCTGGGAAAGCTAAGGCTGCTGCTGGAAGGGATGTTAGTGTGGCCAGTAGGGGGCGATCACCCTGCGGTCTATGTGGGTCCTAATGCCCCAGTATAGTGATGCAGAAACTATACTGTAAAAAAGGCACTGTCCGTCGGATGTGACTTAAAACCGTGGTCTTGACTCTCTGTGCTCATTAAAAATCTCAGGCATTACTGGAAAAGAGTATGGGTGTTGCCCCAGTGACCAAATTTCTCCCTGGCCTTTACCATTTACAGTATGTCCTAATAATCCTCATCTATGAATGGGCTTCATTACTCTGTTCTCCTCCCCACTGACAGCTAATGTGCACTATGGCTAGTGTTGAATCATCCAGGTGGGGGGCTACACACTCACCTGGGGGGTTGGTGAAGGGAAGTCTCCTTTACCTCTAAAGCTAAGGCTTCAAATAACTAAATATTAAAACTGATGACTAAAATGCTGTTTTCCAGCTGCAGTACGACTGCAAAAGAAAAATGTATGTCAAAACACTATGACATAAAAATGATCAAGATTAACACAGGTATGTTAGTAATTCTGATTAGGAAGGAGGAAGGAGGAATGAAATGAGAGGTATGAAGGTCAGAGGAATTAATTTCCCACAGCAAATATTTGAACTGAATATACAAATGTTTAGATGGGAGGTGTTGGTCAAATAAACACACAGGCAGTACAATCAAATGAGAAGGGGTGCCATTTGTCATTTCAGAGAAGTTGGATGGCATAGGATAAGTGTGGAGAAACTTTAGCTGAATTAACATTTGCCTACACAGATTGGTGGAAGCAATGCTTTGGTGCATATTCGTACCTTTAACAGGTTTCTGGGGGACTGGAAGCATGGAAGAATGCGAGGAACAGGGTCAAAAAGAACAAGCTGTACATCAGACCCCCATGATAAATGTGAGCCAAAACCCGTAAACTAAGACAACGGTCACCATATACTGTAGCAATTCCTCTCCTCCAGGCTCGTGTAAAGCAGAAAATATTCTGACAAGTCAAAAGTTACTTTACATGCCAGGAGAAGAGTATTGCTCGGTCAGTGGAGGTAAGTCATTTGTTACAGCCGGGATGTGCCACATGCAAAGTAAATGGTTTCTGTGGCTTATGCTGCTGTAGTGGTTTGATGTGTGGTGTCAACTACAGGGTGGAAAGTGGAATCACAGCTATGATATTCGACTGTGGTAGCACTCAGTACATTGATGATTACTGCCTGGCCATAAACACATTCAACCATTGCACATAAATCACTTTAAGCGTTTAACCATTGCTGCTGTGCTCCCCTCTCATACTTCTTCTTGAGGAAGTGAGTTATTAGCTGGTCATTAAATCATCAGGCCCCTTCAAGATGGCTGGCAAGCCAAATGGATTTTAGCACCCTTGCTGATAAAAATAAACACAGAACAAATGCATGCACACCCCCTGCAAACAACAGGAAAAAAGACCAATTCCAATTTTCAAGTAGACTAAAATTCTATACCATCAACGTTAACATTACACATGCATTCAACTTAGCAAGCCTGATCATGTCTCAAAAAAGTCAAAAGGCATATTAACAACACCACAGTGACTTAGAGTATCAATAACACAGAAAAGTAGGAACTTCAGTACTGAACTGAGCTACAGTTGTTAAGGGCAATTTCAATATCTCCCATTTAAATGATACACTTTGTTATCTTACAAAAAGCAGTACAGTAAGTACAGTCAAATATAAAAGTCTATACAGCCCTATATTTGATCACTGTGGAAAACTTAACCTTTCTCTGTGGAAGCACTCAGTTTTCGGAGGACACAAATGGGTCTCGGTAAAAGTGAAACAAAAAGGCGACAAGACATTCCAGACAAAGGCACTGAAACTGAAAATCGAATGAATGCATAGGTTCCATCCAAGACCTAACAAATACTTTTCGTACTGCTGCAATTATTCCTAATTATTACCCTTACAGTCCTAGCATAAGTCTGTTTCCAAGGCCTCATTTGTTAGTTATGATCATAAACATAATTTTATCAGAAAAAAACACAGGCCCACATTTGTAAGAAACAATACTAATGTTTTGCCAAACTACAAGGTGAAATACTGGAAAGCATTGAATAGGGCGATACTGCACACAAACGGGGGTGGATACTTGCTGGGAATTGTAAACATGCTTTATTTTGGAGATCCTCCCAGATGATCATTGTGCTACAGTGCAACATCACTTAATCAGACCAACGTGAGCTTGGCCCACGATACAGTGGACAAACACCAAAGGCTTCCACATCCAGTAAAATGGTAACATAACAACAGGATAATATCACAAACTGAGGGGGAGAAACACTCGGTATCATTAAGTCAATGTGGATAAAAACACAGGTAATTCTGGATAATAGGCCATAAAAAACATCCCAACAGGAGAGAACCAAACCTTATTGCGTCCTACACTGAGCTGGGGAGGCAGCGATCGTGATGCTGCAGTCACTCTTGCCCGTGATGTAGCCAGGTTACCTGTTCAAAACACAGCACACAAACACGGGTCAGGCTTCACTGCTTTGCTACATTGTGTATCTAGCCATCCACTCTTTAACTGTGCAGGGTCACAGGGGAGCTGGAGCCTATCCCAGCAAGCAGCAGGAGCAAGGCAGTGTACACCTCGACAGGATGCCAGCCCATTGCAGGGCACACACCGACACAAACATGCACACCTACACAACGGGGTTAATTGTATCAGAAACCAATTAACTATGATTGGAAACCAGAGCACCTGGTGGAAACCTGCATGAACATGGGGAGAACATGCAAACTCCATGCAGATGATTCTCCAGGTCTGGAATTGAACCCAGGGCCCCACCGCTGCGAGGCACCAATGCTAACCACTGCACCACTGTGCCACTCACATTCTGTTTCTGGTCTCGGCATACTTGAATATCAAACAGGTTAGAGCAGAGAGCTGCGACAGCGTTTAGGCAGCAAAGGAACAAGCAGCAGTGAATTACATGCTGGAAAGTAAAAAGATGGAGTAAAATGCCCATCGTTTCAACTTGAAACACCTGAGGCAGGTTCCTCTGCCAAACTGATGTTTATTTGACATTTTCCTTTTTATATTTGAGTATAGAATTAACCTCTACTTGTACATATTAAAGGCCTTAATCTGAACACACCAAATCACTTGAATGTGTCAGTTTGGGAGGGTTTGTGGGATCATACAGACTGACGCATTTCATATTACCACAGTATCTGCGCACAAGCCAATCTCCTGGATAGATTTACAAAACATTCCTCTGCTGATGAACCCCTCAGGCTGTGCAGTGCTCTTTAGCCTGCTTAGGGTTTATAAAGGCAGCCCAGGGGTTCCTCCATCAGCAGTATTATTGTCTCTGAGCAAAGGAAAGGATATGCACTAAGCATGTGCAAGGCAGTCTGAACGTTTGAAAGTTTTAGCAAGTATAGCACAAGATGTCCAAATGTTTTCTCTGGCTATATCTTCAGAGGCTAAACTGTGATTAATAGCACTGAAAGAAGCCTTTGAAGCAGGATTGGTGACATCAAAGTCCTAATCCATGGGTGGCAGGATTTTTATAATGAGTGGGAAGCATTTTAACACATTTCAAAGGGTTTACTCCATGAATAAACAATAGACTGCTGCAGATGTGCCACACACCTTTACAAAAATATAACTAAAGAGATGAGGTTGCGGTATAATCCAATGAATAGTGGATGATCTGTATAAACTGGGCAGCACAAGATTTTTTGTGTATTTATTTGTGTAGACCCAAATGAGTAAGTATCCCAGAAAATGACACGATCACCCTGGATTTTAACACACTGCCTTTCACATCGGTAGAATAGAACTGCTAAGATGTGAGCTCTTTTCATTACAGTCTTGTTTCTGTGTGACATATCTTTTCTTTCAATACTAATAAAGAAGAGGTGTGCACATAACAGCATGGTGCCCTTTACACCAACCTCCTTTAACCCATCATTTGTATAGAGATGCAGATTAATGCCTTTGAAGTTCAATAACATCTTCTTTGAAATGAGTTACTTCACCTGCAATGCTACTACGTGCCAGTGCATAATTTAAACATTATGTCATTAATAAACTTACTTTAACAATACGTATTCAGCTGAAAGATGTCATAATAACTTTGTTTCTAATGAATGCTTCCAATATGTTGTTTTGAGTTTTTACATATAAATATGTAATATACAGTATATATTTCTGCTGCCTGTGCTTCAATCTGATGTGAATAAAAGAAAAGACTGCAACTTAAAATGCAGGAATACAAGAATTTGACTTTCTTGTCTTTACAATATTTTCCTATTGGAAGATGTCTTTTGCCTCCATATTGCTGGTATAGTGCTTGTTGTGTTTGAGGAATCTTTGTGGGTTATAACAGACAGCCCCTTGGAGCTAATGTCTAACCTTAATCCCTGTGTAATCTGATAGCTCTGTAGAAGCTTCATCAGCATACACTTTAGTGAAACACAGGGTCATTTATTTTATGTGCCTTATAAAACAAAGCTCAGAGTACCGGCAAGAACAGAGCTTTTCACTGAACTGCCAAAACTTTTGTTTGTTTCTCCTGGCAAGACCAGCTTTATATTATAATTTCAAAAGGGTCCCTAGGGTGAACTGCTTTAGCACAGGTATAGTTTAAAGCAGTTTTTTTTTTGCATTTCAACACAGTTTTTGATTTATTGGTTCAAATCCAAACTTGGATTGCCCCACCAACTAAAGTTCGGATCTGAACCCCTCACAGAACCCCTTTATAAATTACTCACAGGAAATAACTTTGCAATACGTCTTTATATTCACATTATACGCAGAAGAGATTATAGACAAGGATGTTGCAACTACATAATGGCAAAAATGCATATTTGATTTCTTTAAAGGTTTTTAAAGCTGGTGAAGCAGAAAACAGGTTTTTGTTTATAGAGGAAGAAGAAATAAATTGCTATGTGCTTGCTTTCAGGGCTCTTGATGTTACACAGTTTGTCTTGCCTTCTCTTATTTTACGTCCTGTCTATGTCTATCATATGACATACACTATTTGGGCCATCTTACTGATTTAACAGGGGAGCTGGTCTCTTTTGAATCCTGTGTTGTAAGGATACAGTCACTAAAGTCCTGCAACAGTTTAACAGCACATATGGTCATGATCTTGGAACAGAAGTCCCCCCTCCTCATCTCCTTCCTATTGTTGCTGGGTCTGTGAGCAATTTCTTTTATTGAAAACTTTTCTTGAATGATTCAATTTAAGTGGAAGTGTGCCATTTCTTTTGATTGTTTCTCCAAACGAGTATCCAGAAGCAATGGTAATTTGGAAATTATTAGATATTATTACGTATATTCTGATCATTGCCACCTTTTTGTTAAAACAAGAACACGTGCACAAAATACCACCGATCCAGAAAAAAACACGGAGCTCTTGCTTTGTTCCCAGCTACTTTTTTAAACAAGCATCAAGTAAAATACATTTCCATATTGCTAATTACATGTGGTCTGCAGAAAGTACAAGGGTATATGGATTATATATTATTAAGACACCTAATATTAGCATTCTTATAATGAGCTTCTTCTCAGTCAATATCACAAGCAAAGAAACACATGACACACTGACGGTATCTCATTTAGAGCCAGGCTCATAAACTGTGTCAGGTGCTTCATAGGAGTGATTCCAATTACCCAAAGTTTCATCTGGTGGATTAATTGGAATCGTCCTCATTCAAATGAAGTCAGTAAAATAGAATTCTCGTTCGTTTGATTTGCCATTTGCAATTCAAGTGCACATTATTTGAGAACATTTGTCATGATGAATTAAAGACCTTCTACTGGACATGCTAAGAGTGTGGAGGTGTCTTCCATGTTGCTCTCTGACAGGGCACCTGCAGGGGTCACTTAATAAGAGAGGCAGTCTACCAGCATCGATCCCCACAAAAAAAAAAAAAAAACACTATTGGCCAGGGATAGCTTTAAGATTCTAAAAGGGTTTAATGGAATAGTCTTCAATGAAAACTCTTCTGGGCCCATTACATCATCATCATCATAATAATAATGATAATACAGGAGCGATGGCCCTGTGGCTAAAGATCTGAGCCTGTGGCTGGAAGGTTGCCGGTTTGTGTCCCGCATCCGGCAGAGGAATCCTACTCTGCTGGGCCCCTGAGCGAGGCCCTTAACCCAAACTGCTCCAGGGGTGCCGTATAAATGGCTGACCCTGCGCTCTGACCCCAAGCTTCTCTCCCTGTCTGTGTGTCTCATGGAGAGCAAGTTGGGGTATGTAAAAAGACAAATTCCTAATACAAGAAATTGCATATGGCCAATAAAGTGATATTATCGTATCTTATCAAAAGCCTTTTGAATATTAACAGACATAAGAACAAGGGCCTCTATGACAGGAAGAGACAGTAGAAGTATTGGTAAATTAAAAAAACAACTCACTGCTGACAATCCCCCTAGCAATTCAATAATACCAACAGGACACTGTCCCCTCTATTTCCTTACAATGAAGTATAAATGGTCAAATTCCTTAGAAAAGAGTTTATCACAAAAATGTCTGCCAATTGTGTTCAGTTTAAAGGAACTGAGTGTAACTCAGATGACAGACACCAGTGGCATGATTCTCTTGAATACCATCTTTATGTGCTCCTCATTCCGTACGTGACATGAGGAAAATATACTTTGAATAAGGTCATTTACAATTAATTAATTGGAATGACCTTATTAAATAATCATTTCTTTTAATACAAACAATAATTAATTTCTTTTGCTTTCAGTTAATGAAAAACATTTTGCTCAGTTTTTTTCTCAGCTTTGGAGGTCTTAGAAAAAAAACAAAAAAACTACTTGTTGGCATCACCACATTTCCTTTGAAAATGAAACTCGGTGAGAATCTGCTAAAAAAGGAAAGAAACTTCAATCGTATTGGGTTTCTATTGACGAGTTACTGTGTTTGGGATTAAAAACCAATCTCCCGTACGATATATAACACCTAAATACACTCTTTCAAGGAGGCTGAAATGTCTTGTAGTTCAGAAGTTATGGTTTAAGAAGTCAGTATGGGCGACATAACAATTGTAGGAATGCTTGCTTTGAAAGCTGGGTTGCTCTAGCTGGATGGATGTTTTCTTTCTTTTAAATGAATGTGAATGTTGAAATTCAGCAACCCAGGAAATAAGATTACTGTAGACTGAAATCCCCGTGTGCTCTGAGATTTGACTAGTCCAGAGGCTATTTAAATGACATCTACTACTGTCAAGCCAGATCCCCCATAAAATAACTGTGGTGTAATTTGCTTTTGACAGCCCAACATATTTTTGTACCATTACCAAAATTGTATGCTTTCATTACTGGACAGCGGTTATTCTGTTAATATAGTAAAACAATAATTACTTCAAAAATAACTCCTTACTAAAAATAGAACTATTACTTATAAAGTATCGTAGTTACTTATACAGTACATGAACACAATTGTCGAAAAATCCACAACTCTTTAATGAAACTG